CCATGAATCTTGACCTCCTTGAATATTCACGTGTATTGGTTTATACTCAATTAATTCACTTAATTGTTTGTCTAAATTTGCTAAATGTTCACCAATCGATAAATCATGCCACACATTCGGTTCAGCAGGACAAAAGCTCGTGCTGACAGTACCAATCAATTCAAGTTTGTGATCATGTAAAGCTTGATGAAAGACATTTCTATCGTTATTTGACAGGCGGTAAATATCGCTGAGTGAGGCTTCCACGCCTGTATAGCCCAAACGATGAATTTCAGCAAAAAGAACATTAATGTCAGTTGAGAATTGAGCTTCAACACCCCACAATGTACGAAAGATTTTCAGCTGAGGCACAGGCATGTTCTGTGTATAAGAATAAGAAGAAAGAATATTTCATTAACTGGGCTGTTATCAAGTTAGCAAATAAGATACGAAACAAAAAAAGAATATTATCTTCATTTATTTACGGTAGGTCTTGAAAATTTCTCTTTTGCTTATACGACACGAGATATGATTATTCTCACTGCTGCAACGTCAGAATCAGATTGAAATAGAATGTGATGATTACTATGTCAAGAAAGTATTCAAAACCATAGAAAAAGTAACACAGACACCCTTCTGACTGTAACTCTTCTGATTTATCAGTAATATCATCACTTTTGGATTAGTCAATCCATTCTAACTAATGGCGTCTAGTTTTTCTTTTCATATCATGCCAAAAGATAGTGCTACTAGTTGATGGCAAAGAACTGATTATTTCAGCATAAACTCTTAACAATATTCTATACAACTGCATATACTATAGAATCGATCGTTCTAGGTGTTAATCTTTCATTGTTTCACTTTTTTGTAATATAGAACGATGTATGTTAAATCATTTAATAATTTTTTTCAATTGGAAACATCGGCACCTAGCAAGCTTTATATAAGATAACAACGTGAAAATCTATAGCTAATAAATGATATTAATCTGTGGCGCAGTAACTCGTAAAATATCTGTTCCATCGTAAAAAATATGGCTCCTAGATCAATTTTTATGATCTTTTTCTTGTCAAGAATGAACTACCACCATAGGTGCTTGTTTTCCCTTGTACTAAGTTTAGATAATTCCTAGAATCGACGGCATATAATTGATGACAATCATAAACTGAAAATACATACACGTTCAAATTTTGTAACATGGTCATGATATCTGATAGTTTATATAGATTTTTGTCCAAACTATTAGAAAGTACTGTCCTTCTATGAGTTCTTTTCACCTACAATGCCAAAAAAAATGTCATAAATCTCCTTGTGTTCCTGCCCAAATACTACACGAAACATCAAAATAACAAATTCGAACGGGATATATCAATGTAAATTATGTGTTTCTCATCATTTGATAAATCAGATATCTTTTTTTCTTCAAACGAATAACACGCAAGCCAATACGAAAAAAAAGGTGAATGCATCAAGCTACTTTTTAGATTCAATTCTTATCTAGATAGTTAAAGATACTTGAATTCAAATAAGTTATTGCTTTTTTTTCTCTTGAAAAGAAAAGACCTGAAAAATGTTAATGAATGTATGCTTTGGCTCAATGAAATGTTATTTAGAAAAGGTTAAAGATTGATATGAAGTCGATTGTCAAAAGGTAGCATTTTGTTTTTCTTTTCAATCCACATAACACATGTTCGTCCTTGTAAATTTTATTCATTACATAGAGAAAAATAAAGTTATAAGAAAGATGCAGCTAACTATTATCGAATAAATATTTGGAATCAAATAAAAAGCAGAATTTTTCTCTCCGACACATTGAACTTGATAGGTTTCGCTATTAGCATTGTCTGTAAATATTAGACTACCATCTTTCAGTACAAGTAAACCAACAGGCCAACCAAATACACGAGTTCGATTATATAAGAAACCACGAACGAAATCTTCATAATAACCTAATGGTCTATGAGTTGAATTATGAAAGGGTATAAAAATAATTTTAGAACCAGTCGGTTCTTCTCTACTGTCTGAAACACGTAATGCCACGAATGCACCATTGCGATATCGTTCAGGAAATTGTTGGCCTGTATAGAAAGCTACACCGAGTGCACTTGAATGTGCTTTAATAAGAACATCCGGTGTACGTGTAAGAGCAGCAAGATCGGGTCTTACACTTGAACCATTGTAGAACTTATGCCTTGGATCAATGAAATCTGGACTTAAATAAGCGTACGGCCAATCAAAAAAATCTTCTTCTTGTACACGTGTAAAATAGTCTGGTACAAGTTCATCACCAATTTCATCACGTTCCTGACATGAAGTATATAAATCATGTGTTATTGGATGTAATGCAAGACCAACAGCATTTCTTGGGCCAGATGCAAATGTTGTTTGATTGCCTCCATCGAGATCAGTAACTTGAATAGATGCCAATGGTATCAGTTCAATATCGACATTTGAAGCTGAACCAATACTAACATACATGCGATCTTCTACCGGTGGTATCACAATTGTTCGGGTTATGTGACGAACTCCAGTATAATTCATGATTATTTCACCTACGTCTGATAATTGCTGAGAGCAACCTGTCCAATTGTAACGCCTTATATTATACAGATTTCCTGAATATAAATATCCGTTTACGAATGCTATACCAAATGGATACGTGAGCCCGTTATTTTCATTAGCAATAGTAATGCGTTGACCCAGATAACCATCGTTATCAGTATCCAATAAACAAGATATTCGAGTCATATCTGATTCACTAACAAGTATATTGCCTTCTGGTGTATATTGTAAATATCGTGATTTTTGCAGACCAGTAAAATATCGTTTTACGACAAATCCTTTCGGGACATAAAGTTCAGGATCCGCCGGGACATCCATCTGTTTGGAGTAATTTAAGTAGCCGGATGTGTTGGTTGGATGTGGAAGATTGGCTAAAGTGATACGCATTGGTTCTGGATTAAATGTAATGTTAACACTATCGATAGGTTGAACACTAATCAGTGTCAATAGGAAAACCAAAGTAGAAAAAGGTAGCAGCATTTCTTGTACTTTTGTATTTGAAGATTTATAATGGTTGTAAGAGAATGATAAAAAACGAAAAGAGTGTGTATTAATGTATTAGTATAAAATACAACTGAAGTTATATACTCAAGTAAGACTATTTACGATCATAATAGAACGTGAAAAAAATGTCTGTGCCTCAAATTCCCAAGTGAGCCTTTTGTTTTTTACCACCATATCCTAGTTTCAAAAACTCTAGAAACCATGAAAGTCAAGCATACAAGCTAAACAAGTTGTATATCCTGAACTTCTTGTCGATAATATTTCGAATCATTCTTATCA